ATTAAACTTATATCGATATATTATTGCGCGAATTTAAAAGAAAAGAAAAGAAAAAATAATAATTATAACGATTTTTAAATTTATCCCTTTCTATCACTAACTAGAAAAAAAAAGAAAAAGGAAAAATATTGAAAGAGAAATGGAAGAGGAGGACAAAGAAAGAGAAGAGATTAATTAAACTTATATCCGACATATTATTGCGCGAATTTAGAAGAAAAGAAAAAATAACAATTATAACCATTTTTAAATTTATCCCTTTCTATCACTAACTAAAAAAAAAAAAGAAAAAGAAAAAACAAATATCGAAAAAGAGATGGAAGGAGAGGACAAAGAAAGAGAAGAGATTAATTAAACCTATATCCGATATATTATTTCGCGAATTTAGAAGAAAAGAAAAAATAACAATTATAACCATTTTTAAATTTATCCCTTTCTATCACTAACTAAAAAAAAAAAAGAAAAAGAAAAAACAAATATCGAAAAAGAGATGGAAGGAGAGGACAAAGAAAGAGAAGAGATTAATTAAACCTATATCCGATATATTATTTCGCGAATTTAGAAGAAAAGAAAAGAAATAATAATAATTATAACTATTTTTAAATTTATCCCTTTCTATCACTAACTAGAAAAAAGAAGAAAAAGGAAAACAAATATCGAAAGAAAGATGGAAGAGGAGGATAAAGAGAGAGAAGAGATTAATTAAACTTATATCCGATATATTATTGCGCCAATTTAGAAGAAAAGAAATAATAATAATTATAACTATTTTTTTAATTTATCCCTTTCTATCACTAACTAGAAAAAAGAAGAAAAAGGAAAAACATTGAAAGAGAAATGGAAGAGGAGGACAAAGAGGGAGAAGAACGAGAAAGGCGAAAAACTCTTTCCTCTTTTCTCTCTCCCCAATCCCTCCTCCCTCCTTTCCTGTTTCCTACCACAAAAGGAACCATGATGATTCATAGTTTGGTTAAGGAGAAACGACACGCGTTACCTCCTCGGGATGATCCTCTTGGGGCGAAGCGACCCTGAGCAAGGACAGATCCTCGGGCGTGGAGGAGAATTGGACGGGTGCTCTGACGGTCCTCCCCCAGGGGTCCTGGTGATTCCTCCTGCACGTGTGCGGATAACTCGGTTCACCGGCTTCCCCGATCAATTCGCGTCTCTCGACCCGGATCTCCCCGTCCGACAGCGTCTTCTGCAACGGGAGGAACCTCTTTCCCGTCTGGGACATCCGGTTCAAAAGGGCGCGGGCGTCCGGCGACACGGGCGCTGGTTTAAAGTCGATGAGAATCTCTTGGTCGTCCAACTCGTACGATCTTCGCCGACCCTGGGACTGCGAAACGGATCGAAACGAGGAGAGATGATTGGGCCATTGTTTCTTGTTGCTTGTGATGTGGTGTTGTTGATGATTTGTGATGATGGTCTTCTTTTTTGAAAGAAGGGGTAGGAAGAGAGGGAGGGAGAAAGAGAAGGAGGGAGA